TCACGTTTCACAAAATGTTGTGTGCCTCTTGAAAATTAATATTTTATGTTCATATAAGTATTATGCCCGTCGCTGTACATAATAGAAACCAAAATATTCCAATATTTTTATATTACCAAAGTATTCTAATATTTTTATATTATAAAATATTCTAATATTTTCATATTATAAGATATCCTAATATTTTTACATTGTAAAATATTCTAGTATTTTTATATTATAAAATATCCTAATATTTTTACATTGTAAAATATCCTAATATTTTTACATTGTAAAATATTCTAATATTTTCATATTATAAAATAGAATTTATATATTACAAGATATAAAAATGTTGTTTAAATATTAAGAGAAACGAAGAACGTATTTCAAACTGTATAATTGACATGAATGTGTTACAGCGAATAGGGTGAATGGTTTTACTGTGCAGTTGTTGTTGGGAAGATTGTTTACGAATGACAATCGTCCGGGAAAGTCCTGCTTATCATACGGGGGAGATTATCGAATGGAAATTCGTTGTTGCTTCTTGATCTCTATGAACGTATTCCCGTTATCGACGTATCGTGTTAACCGGAAGTTCCACCGGATATATTTGATGACGTCCCCCCCTCCGGGCGAAAAGTACACCGATATCAGCATTCTATTCTGGTCAAATAGATCACCTGTATTTTGTTAACTGTACGCTCGGAATGCAGATGTTTGCAAAATCAATATTGGTGTAGAATTTCAGCAAGGCCAAGGATTCCCAAGCACCGGGAGATAAGATCCGCGGTTCTACAGATTCTTCGGAGGCATTGGATGTGACGCGCGACATCGTAAAACTTCGTTGTCTACAAGTAAATAATCAAATATTACACGGAATTTTCTACGAAATTCTATCGATTGGTATCAACTCGATTATGAATTTCGCGAATTTATGGTATAGTTGTTAATTTGTAAAATGAAAGGAATTGTTCGTATCAACATGGATTAAATTATTATATTATTAAATTTAGCGATTTCTATGTCATTTTTATCAGAAAGATATTTTTGGTCAAATTTTTGCTTTCAGTCTGATTTTTGTTAAATTGTTTATGGACGTGCGCAAAAATCCCCCAAAATTACACAAATAGATAATATGAATGTTCAAACATGTGGATTCATTCATTCGTTTATATTCGATTTTTATCAGGTAGGTATATTTTAATCGTTGAAATAAATGCCTGTGTTTACTTTAATTTCAGGTAAACTAATTTATGTAAATTCACATTCCTTTTATTAAATTTCAAAACACGAAAATATTCTATGTAATTTAATAAGTAATTGTTAAATATTTATAAGATAGGTGAATTATTGTATAAGAATGTGACGTCAAAAGTACAAGAAGCAAACTTTTGACATTATATTTCCACTGATAAACCTCATTTCCAGGAACATTGACAACAGGGATATCGTTCTAGAAGGATGCTGATGTTCCATTATTAAAGATATAAATTACGTTCTCGCAGAAATCACTTCTGGAAGCTAACGATAAATATCTCCATCCTGTTTTCATCGTAAGTGCATCATAGTCCATTATTTCAATCTTATGATTATGTATACATGTTCTCGAATTATATGAATTTTTACTATCGTCTGCTCAAATCATCTATAAATCAATATAATACATACATTAGCTTATGTACGTAGCTAAAGGAGGGCAGCCCTATCTTATAGGGTAGTTAGCTTATTATACTCCGGATTCAATTTTTTCGTTATTAAAATTGAACGTACTCCTCGTTAAAACAAATTAGAAAATATTCAAGAAAATTGCGTTACCGGTGTCCCGTTCGCTTCAGACATTATTTAAATATACTGAAACGTTTAACGACATTATAAGAAAATTAGACGTTGCATTCAGGAGAATCTATAGAATTTTTTAATCTAAGAGTTATTGTTGCAGCTTTTACGCTTGAAGCACGAAGATTTGTTCATGTTGATAATTTAATATTTTCCTTCGAAATTGAATTTCTGAAGAACGGAAGGTGACGGAGGAAAACAATTTTCAAAACCCTGTTGACCGTACCGAAATTAATAAGAGACGACGCAGATGCCGGACAATGTAATCCAAATCTGGAGTTCGATACCGTGAGGGTAAATCTCGATTATTTTCCTCGGTAAAGTAATCAATTACACATTGATCCCCCTTAAACAGACTCTATCTCCATTCGAATCTGCTCCTCTACTCTGTTCAAAGAGACCTCGATCCTAGTTAATAGGGTCTACAACCTGCCGGTGTCTATCAATAATCCAAGGCCATAAGAGCAACAACTTAATTAGAACGAATTCTAATTAATCATCCTATTCGTCGACTTCATTCATTATTGAGGCTTATTTTATTGCTAGGGCAGTTAAGAATCGAAAATAATACGTTTCTGGCAAAAACTAATTGCGGCAATCTGAAACAGTAGAAAGATTAATGTAGGTATATTATTTCCAACTTATTGACATTTTCAAAGAAGAAATGTCTACGGTTTCTTGCAATCGATGCACGCCGTTCAATCATTATTAGACTGTGGTTTTTGTGCGTTTATGGCAAGAAACAGGTTGTGCAATTTGTAACCACGGAAAGATGAACAGAATCTAAGTTAATCTTTTCTAACGTTTTGAAATGATCGAGAAGAGAACAAATGTTTTGATACGGTTTCTTGCAATCGGTGCATCTGATTTTAATTTTGCAGAATAGACAAAAATAGAGAATTCGGGGAGAGGAGATACGATTATTCGAGCCTCGCGACTCATTTTTATAGTTGTTGACAATCAGTAACTATAAAAACTAGCAGCAAGGCTCGAACAATCGTATCTCCTCTCCCTGAATTGTCTATTTTTGTGTACAATCTTAGAGTCGATTAATTTTTTCTAATGTTCTGAAATGATTGAGATTACAATTTCTTGCAATTGGTGCAACTCATTTTAATTTTGCAAAATATCTACGGCCTACCATAACAGAAACTTGCAAGGGAAGATTTCCACGTTGCATTTAAAACAATTATGAAATTTTAGAGATATGTGGAGGCTACATGAACAAGTATGTAAACTTCGATTTACAAATCTATGATCGACTCAGTTACGAGCAAAATTTTACAACGTTTTGAAATCGCAATTATCAGTTTCCCAAACACTATGCTATGCGAAAGTAGAAACTTCAAGCTTTAAAATGACTTCAGGCTTATTGGTTGAAATTAAAACTTTTCTTTCATTGGAATTGATAATTCATATTACTTTGACCAAGATTCGACTTGCACTCTTTTGCCGGACCACCAGATATACAGGGTAAAATATAGATATTCACTGTTATAATAGATTTTATAAATTTTGAGAAAAATGAGTGGTTGCCATTTAAAGCAATAGATAAAGTAACTAGAAGTACATCACTTTCAATGCTTAGTTTTGGCTTAGTCAACTTATTCAAGGAAGATTGAAATCTCTACTTGGCTCCTGTTTCTTGCAACTCGTGCAAATCACTTTTATCTCGCATAAATATCTGCAATCTAGTTAAAAACTTACTTACTTCTGGTAATCAATCATGATACGTAAATAGCCGGATATCCTACTATTTCTTTAATATGATCTACATTATTCTACAGGATTTTTTCTATTATTATTGATTACCAGTAGCAAGTAAGTCGAGCGTTATAACTTCTACAAGAAAAATGCATATAACTTTGAATGTACAAATATATACATTTCCTGTTCACTAGAACTTTTCTTCTTCGTGATCTACATCTAAAATGTCTTCTACTGTTATCTGATTACCAAAAACAAGTAAGTTAAGTTCAACAATTTCAACAAAAAATTGCTTACAATTTCAAATATACATACATATTTTTGAGCCATGTACATTAGGACTTGTACATGATCTGAATGATTTCTTTCACTATGATTGATCGCTAGAAGTAAATAAGTTGAGTATTACAACTTCGACAAAAAAATGTTCATAACTTTAAATGTAGATATACAGAAAATTTTCCCCAATTTTCCTTCAGCTTGTAAACAAAAATGGACAATTTGGGAAGAGGAGATACAATTATTCGAGCCTGCACCTCGTTTTTATAATTGTTGACAATCGGCGAATGTAAAAATGAGCCCGCGAGGCTGCAATAATCGTATCTTCTCTACCCAAATTGTTCATTTTTGTACATGGTTGATCCATGCTTTTTAGGACATTCTTTCCCATTCGGCAAGTACCATCTACCCTTAAAATATTTCACTTTTTCCTCTCAACACCCTACGCCTAAAGCCCCATAATTTCTGTTATTTGCGGATCCTCCCTCGCCGGCGCTTATATTTCTGCGTCCGCACCAGCTGCGACGACTCCTCTCTCACCTTCGGTTCCTCCCAATCCTGAAAAAGATCAGGTAACCGTCAGTTGTTTTGTCGTTCCCTTGGGCCTGCCAAGCATTCAAGCGAGTTATCAGCGTTATCGTCGGTAGTAACGTAGCAAACGCTCGGGGATGCGCAGCGTGGACGAATCGCGGGCTGGACTAGCGACTATAAGAGGGACGCCGCGCGTCGCGACGCCACACAATCTCCAGTTTGTCCTGCACTCGAACTCGACGCGCGTCCTACCGAGTGTCCCGGTGCCGATTTTCACGCAGCAAGAGGAAGAGAGAGAGAGAGAGAGAGAGAGAGAGAGAGAGAAAGAGAGAGAGAAAGAGACAGAAAGAGGGTAGAAATCGTGTTCTTTGGGTTCTTCGACAGTACCTCCCTTTAGCGATTTGGATAAAGATGGTTCCGGATGGGTCATCTGGCCGGCTGCCGTGGCTGCTGCTCGCCACGGGTCTTTTCAACATCGTCAACGGTGTAATCAAAGGGAGCAACGATTTTCAACACTATCAGCAACAGGTATGGTACTACTGTTTTATGCGGTTTGTTTGGCGCTGGCCGTTTTCTCTGCTCAGACAATAGGCTAACAGTTCCTTTGAATTTCGATTGTTTGCTCTTGCATGACTGATAAAACTCGTTTTCTTCGGGTAAAATATAAGTCTGTCGCGAACAATTAATTAACGCTTGCATAGAAGTTCTTATGTAGTTTCTCCGACGAAAATTCGAAAGTGAATTCTCATTTATTTTTATCTACTTTGTTTAACGAAAACTCGAAGATAAATTTTCATTTATTTTTATTCATTTCGTTTAACGAAAACTCGAGAATAAATTCTCGTTTATTTTTATTCGTTTGGTTTAGCAAAATTTGAGACCGTGTTCGTGAACATTTTTACGTGACTTCATTTAACGATCAAGAGATTTTTATTTTTGTCTTTTTCTTTAACGAAGATTAGAAACAGATTCAGGCTTCTTTATCTAGAAAAGCATGTATGTAGCTGTTATTGAACGCGGTGAACGGGATACTATAAAAATATAAAGTTGCAGTCATAAATTGTCGGACAAGTCATTATGGCGCTTTTAGTAGATTAGTATTAAAACAGGGGAAGCTAGAACCAATTAATTCAGTGTTCCCGATGTACTCGTTTAGCATTCCATTAACATTTAATTGTGCAGTAAGATTTACTTTGCAATTATCAAGTCGGAATAAAAGAATTTATAAAAGAATAAAAGAATGTTGGATGGATTATTACAAATAATTTTGTGAGTCATTATTACACAATTTTATGAATCATTGTATAATTTTATGAGTCGTTATTGTGTATGAATCCTTAATTTATAAATGATTTGTTACATATAATTTAAAAAGCCTATGCGTGTTATGTTTTAGTGACAAGATCATTTTGTCATCTAATTAGATGAAGACTATTTCTCGTAAACAATCGCAACCACAGTTTTGCTATTCTATTTTTAATACAATATACTTTCAAATATACCACAAAATTCTTTCCGAACATAATTTTGTCCAAGTCACTGAAAGTTCAATCTTGCCAAAATAAATTTTATACTTTTACCAATATTCTATTAACAATCGTGCTAACTCCTCATTAATTAAGAATCGAGAGTTTGCCAGAACGAGATGGAACGGAGAATAATCGATTAAAAAAACGACGGACCCGGGGGAAATTGATATTATAGGTACGCCGGCAAGAATGAAATGATGTTTTCCATTAACCAGTGAACGTTGCTTTTGTAAAACACGATTGGAACTTCATTTGTGACGTGATCGGCGGGGCGTGGGAATTTTCATAACATTTTATTGATCGTAGTGGGAAACGAAAAAAAAGAAGAAAGGAAGACCATGAAACAGTTGTTGCTAATGAAGCCTATGTGATTCGTTTGCCAGTCGATGCACACGCTTCCGGCTCTTTGCCATAGCAATTAATTGCACCGGCACGCTTCAAAGTAAACGAAACGCGTAGGGTCCCGGACAAATATCCCTTTCCCTTGTCCATCCACGAAAACAGGTTTCCTCTGGTTCCGTTAAAACAGAAGACACTGTTACAGGTGACTTTATCTGTGAGCTTAGTTTTGATCAGTCGATTCGACGAAATCGATCTTTATTGGTAGAAACTATATAGGATAGATTGTTCGATTGTTGCTGTCGAATTCTTCCGTTCAGGTGTCTACGAAATCGTGCTAACGGAAGAATCTATTTCTCGAAATATATATCTGAGATAGATTACTCAAATGTAACACTTGAATCGAATAATCTGTCCGAGGAAATGCGACAGTTTATCCTTAAATCGTTTCATGATATTCTATGGTCAACTATGTGGTAGTCTATGTCAAACATCTATCTTCAGAAATCCAAATCTCGGATCAACGTGTAATTGCTTTCTAATTGAATTCTCAAGAAGTCCTGCATCTGTGAGTCCACAGAACCTACCTTCTCAATTTCGATAGCTATACAAAATCTGTTTCTACCAATAGTCTTTAAAAGGCAACCCAGATCTGGGATACTAATTTACATAACTGATTATACAGCTCGTTTACATAATAGCTAGCAATATCCATATCGACCGTAGTCATTACATAATCTATTCAATCAGTTTAACTTAGGTCTTAATCTATCTACAGGATCTATCTCCATAATTTGTCTTGGCAGCCAAATTAGATAATCCTATATACAGTACCCCTTCAAAACTAGTCAATTTCAATAATCGAACAAGTCAGCTAACCGTTTCGTCAATCTAATCTGTCTAAACAATGTATAACGAAATTTAATTTATCTAAACTTTAACAATAGCTATAGAATACATCCCATGCTCTTAATCTACCAACAGAATTCATCTAAATAATCTATCACAGAATTGAATTTGCCTAAATTCTAACAATAGCTATTATAGTCTATCATGTGCTCTTAATTTACCAACAGAAATTTAATTTATCTAAACTTTAACAATAGCTATATAATCCATTCCATGCT